CGATACAAATCTTTATTCATTTGCCAATAATCTCTTCCCATTTTCCACTTCAGGACCATTTTATCAGTTTTGAGACCTATAATTGAATTAAGTCTGCTTTCAGCACAGGGCAAAAGGAGTTGCACAAATATTGATGAAGTCATGACAGGGACAACCCAAGAGACAGACTGCTAAGAGGACAGGTTTTACACCATTTGTTACAGGATCCCTATATCAGTGTCTTGGAGTTTGTGTCCATATTTTTAAAAATCCATCAAAACTTTTGGACTCACTTTTAGGATTTTCACACTAAATATCACCCTCCGCAATATCATTTCTATAGTACTGTTTAGTTTCAACTGGACCTCATAAACATTATCCTGAATACTCTTTCACAGCAACTTATATATTACACAAATCTTAAATATTCTTCTAATGTGCTTTTTTGTGTATTTTCCTTGATTATTTACACAGCTGAGGGTAAATGGATAATCATTTAAGCGTGTGACTGTCTTGTTTTTAAATTATTTTATTTAGTATTTTAATTTTTTATGTATATGAATACCCAGTGTTGTGCAGTGCCTGTGGAGGTCAGAAAAGAGTGTCAGATTCCTCTGGAACTGCAGTTATGGATGGGTGTTAGCCACTCTGTAGGTGCTGGGAACCAAACCTGGGTCCTCTGCAAGAGCACCACTGCTCATAACTGCTGAGCCAGCTCTCTTGCTCCATGAGTGACTACTTTGTAATAGAGCTTAAATTCAAATTTAGATACTTTGCTTCTGGAACAAAGATTATATTGCCTATATGTACTTTATGTTATATTTATATATACTCCTATTGTTTTATTTGTGTCATTTTGAAATGGCCATTATGTATAAAATTAGAAGAAATAGAGGACTTAAATATATTTTGTCATTAAAGTTGTCACTATAGATTTCCTTTGGTTCATATTTCCCTGGTTTTTAAGTCTTCTTTTGAAAACCTTCCTGAATTATTGTTATGTTTCTCTTGTTAATAACATATTTCAGGACCCCTGTCCCACCCCCACCTCCCATGTTATCTGAGACTCTTCTTCCCTGGCTTTTCACTCCAGTTAATTTGAGAACTGGTGTGGAAAGCCTCTAATGTTCTAGTCTAGTTGTAAGCACTTCTCTGAGACCTTTAAAACAGTACAAAAAAACAAAGCAAAACAACCTCCCCATATGTGTTCACGCAAGTGCAAATCCTCCCCCATTTCCTAATGTTACTATCCCAGCAGCTCCTCACAGCTGTAAATGTCTTGCCTTGTGGGTTGGTTACAGCCTGGAGCTGGGCACGACCATTCAGAGACCTGAGCTGATTGCTGCTGATCCACCCAACCTTGTCTCAAAATGGGCAGATATCAGATGCTTACAGTTGGTTAAGTGCACTGATTAAGACATTAACAAGTAGGGCTGGAATATGAAAATTAAAAGATGCATTGCACTTCCTCACTGACTTTCCTTTTCCATGGTGTCTTTGAGAAACTAAATCAGCATTTTTAATGAACCATAGTGAATTCTATGGCAGGGTTTGTCCAGAGTGTTACAGGAGTACTTTGGGAAGAATTCATTATGTTATGCATAAGGGAAAGTTTTCTTCCATTGAAACATAATTTAGGTTGAGTCCTGAGGGACTGTTTTTCATTTTGTTGTTTGTTCGCTAAATGAGGAGAATCAGGGTAGACTGAGAGAAAAGGAGCATTTTAGGGAGATGGAGCAAGTGGTTCAGTGTGAGTGAAACCAGTTTAATGGTCTGGTCACTCCTGCTACTGCCATGACTTTCCATGAGGTGTAGCTTCTGGCAATAGCAGAAGATTATTTTTGAAATTTTGAGAAAGGTTATATTTTAGAAAGATTTTGCTTTATTATGGAGGGCACATTGATATTGAGCAAGGCAGGAGCCATTTGGGTCCATTAAGAGACCGATGCAGTAATTTAAGTGGGAAAAGAGGATGGTCTCAACTAAGGCAACAGCTATGAAAACAGAAAGATGCAGTTAGGTAAAAATGATAAGTAAGAATGTTGGATAGCCAGGACTCTGGTTGCTTACCTTTAGCTGTGTTTTATAGTCAAGAAAAGTGAGTGTTGGGATTAATGCCTATTTTTCCTTATAACCTTGCATTTAAAACACGTTTTTAAAAACTTCTAATTTAAAGTGCCATGTGAAAACATAGCCAAGCAATATCCTACCTTTCTCTTCTGTTTTGAAGAACAGCTTCTTATCCTCAGTTCTAAAATCCAAATAGCTCAGAAAACTAGATTTTCCTTAATTTTGTGACAGATACAATTGACAGCAACAACAGTTACCAAATGATCCATTTATAATTTTTACTAGTCTTTTTTTTTTTAAATCCCATTTTCATGCTTCCTTCAGAATCCTTAATGTGTATAATGCTGCATTTCTGCTCCAGGCCCCTGAGTGTTACCTGACATAAAATTTGTTTATATGCCTTATTACCTTTCTAAAACCCAAACACGTTGAAGTATGTCTAGCCCCAATGGTTTCAGATAATGAATTATGGCTTTGTATTTTAAATCTGAGTTGTTGGTGGTGTTTTGGTGGGTTTTTTTTTTTTGTATATTGCAACATCATTTTCTTATTCTAATGACCATTATCTGAGACAGTAGCCACAAGGAAAGTGAGGTACATATTGAGTAGTATAAACTTCAAGGTAGATTGCTTTGTGAACCTAAAGAATAGTGTGTATAATACATTTCTGTTTGGGATTATAAAACACAGAAGAGGGGAAAGATGCACAGAGTCATATACATAGACACAGCTAAACAGAATATCTTTAGAAGGATAAACAAAGAGTCATTATCTGTGAATGAAAATTGGTAGTCAGTCATGAACGGAGGCCTTAATTCATTATGTGTATTTGTGAGTGTGTGCATGTTATACTACATGTCCTATTTATGTATTTTTACAATGTTGCTATAGTTGGGGTTAAATTTTAAGTTAAGCATAGAATGCCCTTGTGAAAACTCAAATATTAGGCATATTAATTTTGTAATAATAAAGTTTGAAATAATCAAACATATTCTGTCAGCATAACCTTCTCTCACATCGTGTGGTAATTCTTGTCATTTATCGAATTAGGACTGTGATAACATTAGAGATTAGAAAATGAGTCTTGCCAGCCCTTACATTTCTACACTGAGTTTATAGTTTTGCTAAGGTTGCCAGAAGAGTGAGTAAAGAGAATGGCCTAAGACAAGTGCCAGTCCATGGAATGGTCATTGCTCCTATGTGAGATTAGTCAGTAAGAGCCAAGGTTGAAAGTCTTGTGTATAGTTTTTAAGCAACAAAACCAAAGGGATTAAAGTCAGGGAACTTTGAAAAGATGAAGGAAACTGGAAAAAAAGAGAGTATTTTTTTCCAGCAAAGGAAAAATAGGAGACAGAAATTGAAAAGAAAGTTGGAATTAAATACATATAATTTCATGTTACAAATGGTTAAGACCTGAGTCTGGAGTGATATCAGCAGTTAAAAGTATGTACTGCACTTGTGGAGGACCTGAATTGACTTCCCAGCATGCACATCAGGCAGCTTACATCTCCCTGTAGCTCTAGCTCCAAGGGATCCAGAACTCTCTTCTGGACTCCAAGGGTACTAGCACTCACATGCATATTACACCCAGACACATATAAGTGCACATAATTAAAATAAAATAAATCTTAAAAAGATAAGACATGTAGTTATGTTGAAACTAAAATATTGCTTGATCAGAGTGGGGAAAATCAAAGCTCATCTGTCACTAATAAATTGGTATAGATCTAAATCTTTTAAAAGTTTTCCAGTTTGAAGACAGACATGGTGACATACGCCTTTAATCTCAGCACTCTAGAGGCAGATCCATAGAGAGTCCAGACCAGCTGGGACTACAGGGAGACTGTCTCAAAAAGACCTAAACAAACAAACAAATAAATAAATAACGCATTTGACATACTTCATCAAATGTCTGTTTAAATTATCTTTACTACTACAGATACTTATTTTTTGTATCACCAGCAGTTTCTTTTACAGTCAAAAACAGGAAGTTAAATAGCAAAATATATCATGCTGGGGTTTTTTTGATATTTTATTTCTCAGTATTACAATTATAGATTTTGAT